GGCCTCCTGTAAACATGCCTGGGAGGAGAGTACCACGGACTAAAGGAAAGGGAAAAGGAGGAGGTTGGAGGAATGAGGAGCAGCTGCCGGGTTGTTTCTACCGAAAATAGAGTTGCTGCACAAAACCCAGACATGGACAGACAAAACAAAGTGTTAGAGGAGGGCAGAGGGAAAAATATTGGCCAAAAAGTTGATAAAGGGGGGCCTGGAGTAACAGCCTGGTCAAGCAAAGCTGTTTTGTGAGACCGGGGAGATGTGGGGGTGTATGAAGTGTTGTTATTGTTGTTATCCGTAGTGCTGGGCTCTACTGGTAATAAAACTGACAGGATTCATTCCCAGTGATATACTGACCTCTTAAAGCGGAGACAATAGAAAAGTAGCCGTTAAACTTACCTAAGGGACCAAAGCACATAGCAGGAGGTTTGGGATGAGGATGAGGTGATGTTGTGGAAATAGAATATTTATTAAATAGGCTTTTCCTCTCCACTGGGAGCTCTGGGATTACAAGGTGACAAGCGATTTAGGCACCGAACCATGCCTTAGACAGCTATTACCTGCCATTCAGTGACAACGCATTTGTGATTTTTAACTCATGTTCAACTTAGGAATATTATCCATTTTACTATATATAAAGGTGATGTGTCTAAATGAACTAAAATATAATTTCAACAAGTTATTATTTTAGTCATTTCTTATAATAAAGCGGAAAACTATAATGGTATTTGTCATACCAGGTCCAATATGTATTTAGCTTATTATTTAGCTGATGAAAGCTAAATAAATATTATATAAGACCAGCAAATAATGATCTACAGAAATGAGAACCGACTAAAAGTGGTTCATGTAGTATATATTACTTTTGCATTGTTTATTGGATCAATGGATGGATGCAAAAAGGTGGTCAAATCCACTGGTACTACTACTAAGGTTTTAAGGAAACCCAGAATGCATTGAACCTCAGTTATTCTACATGTTTGATGGGATGTGTGCTTATTTCCCTTTTGAAAATACTACATAGATTCCCTATAGGGTCTAGCCAACTCCTTGTCCAGTGAAAATGATGGAGATAGAAATATGTACTTTTGGCATTAGAAATAACTCAGCATCTCCCTACGAGGCATGACATGCTTTAAAATTTGTTTGTAGAAGTGCTCCCTGACTTTAGCCTCAATAAAAAAGAGTGAAAAACAGCAGCATATGACTTGGCTTCCCAAATCACTAACTAAAATTTCACACTGGAGTTCAAGCAGCTTGGATTATTTCCCTCTCTGCTCTGTTTCAGAACTCTGGACTGCAAATTTCAAATAAATGCAATAATTTGCAATTATGTAAAAAGAAAACCATATACATGTATATCACATTCCAGTCCTTTGTTTTAACCCAGATAAAATCTTTCTAATGGTGTCTGGTTTAGGACTTTACAATTTTGCACAAGCTAATATGTTGTGCAGGCATGATTGTGGATTGATTTATTGCACAGCTCTAATTTGATGCTTTCATTGACTTGAAGCCATAATTTTACGATGAAAATGAAAAAGAAAATACTAGAAATATGCTTCCCTGTGTATATGGATCTAACTGAAATAACTTTTTGGGAAGTTAAAAGTCACAGATGTACATGTAGTTACATTCAAAAGATTATAATTTTCTTTCTTACAGTTCTCTGTGTATTTTATCCGTTTTGAGACTAATTTCCACCTGCAGCCTAACTATACTGGGAAAGTTAATCCTGGCACTGGTCATTACAGCAAGTGATGACATTTTAACATTACTGTGTGAAATAACTTGACCTTTAGCATGGCTATTAAAAGAGACCTGTGACAGGTAAAAAAAAAAAAAAAAGAAAAACACATGGACCAGATTAAATGAGCAGAGCCAGTATCTATTTGTCTACATAGCATCTTGTCTTGAGAATGTTTAATATAGATATTCGAAGGCGAATTTTATTATTATAAATAACTGGATTAGCAGCTCTGCTAATGAGGAGAGTGTGGGATGTGCAGTTGAGAAGGTAAATGTGACGCATTACCACTCTTCATAGCTTGAGAAGCATGTCAACACCATCACACACTGTCTTAATAACATCTGGTACAAACCTGGAATATTAAGTCATTTACAAGTCATGTATCCCTGACAGGACATTAGGGGCAGAGTAATTAAATGCATTTATACCATCAGTTATGGAAATGAGAAATGTTTAGAACTATTTATTTTGAGAAAGGTGAAATCCATATTGACTCATTAGGTGTCCTAATGAAACACATTCATCCATCAACTACTGCCTCTTGTTCTTAGCTGAGCAGAGAACGTACAGGGTTGTTAATCTGCCCAAGAAGAACAGGATGTTTCTGTCAATCAGATACTCACAGGTCAATTACAGACACTGAGGCGGCTGAAGATTTCCCCCTTCGATAAGAAATCCCCCTTGCTCAGATGCAATGTTATGGTGCAGTGATTTGTGGAAGTTACATCGAGAAGCTGGGATTTAAAGCATGCAAGTGATAGATATTGAATCTACAAACTTTGTGCCAAACTCTGTAACAACTGCAGAACCTGCGCCAAATAGCAACCTAAATGTTATCAATATGATACGTGATGTGGTGAACACTTGGGGGTGGGGGGCTTACAGTACGCATAAAAACATGTTATGTCATCTTTCTTTTGCCAGGAACACTGTGTTCCTATGCTTATTTTTGTATACAGCCAATGGGACCCCGCCCCCTCCATGGAGTGCAGAGATCTAATCTAACCTTACTGTGGTCCATCTAAAGCTGGAGTACAAGTTACAAGTCAGGGCTGTTTTTTACCTACTATTGTTTTAAAATTTACATAATTTAGACATGGCAGACCTCTTTGTTTGATTTGTTAAAGCAAAATTTGAGAACAATTTCTATAAGAAAGAATAAAATGACAGTTTAGATTACATCTAAACCCAGTCTTACCTTGACTGGATTATTTTCATGAGCACTTATTGCTTAAAAGGACAAAATACAAATAAAAAAAAAATAAAATGTCCATCCATCCATTTTCTTTACACGCTTGTCCCTAGTGGGGGAGAATTTTTCTGCAAATCTCGAATTTTAGTTGGGAGCTGTCAATTTTTTTTTTTTTTAACTCATTTGATTTTTCCACTATGTATTGATTTTTTGTACATTAATCTTTGATCAAAGAGCAAAAAAATGTTGAACATTGTTTAGTATTTAGACTGAACATGGGATTTTTTTTTTATTTGATTTGATCAGAAAAAGGCTTACGCTGCTTTTACTGCATCTTATACTTGTTCTTCTTGTAAACACCTTGGAATGTAACTTTCCTCTACTCCTTTTTTTAGTCAACCTTGATCACTTGTCAAGCAGCTGTGTGTTGAGTGGGTGTACATCGGTCATCCTGCCTGATCTCATACTGGCCTTCAAACCCAGCCTCCCAGATGCCTCGTCTACCAGCCCATTGTCTCCAAACCTCCATTAAGTCATCTATCGTCTCCTGCCCCACCCAGGGCCATCAGCTCACTCTTCTTCTCCTTTTCTCCCTTTCAGTACCGTCAGATAGACACCTTGGCATGTCATTATTGTAGCAGAAGCTATTTGGATTCAATTTGGGAACTTTAATTAGAGCTGAAATAAAATGCCCTAACTTGTGAAGGTGCAAATATTTTACAGCAGGGGATGAAAAGGCAAACAGCAAAATTGTGCCTGTGGTGATATTTTGAAAGAAACAGCAAGAGACAATATCCAATAAAGCAGGAGCACCTACGGCAATGGTTAAAACATGCCTCTTTGATTCCACGGTAAGGAATGCAACCTGTCAAGCACACCCCTGATTTACTTAACCCAAGCCACCGACTGGCCTCGAGCATGGCACCCAACTGCCTCCAGGCTTTAATAACTTCAAACATGATCATGAATTCTGCAGAATTGTGTTAGTTCTCTATATCCATCCACCTGCAGTTCTTCTTGGACCCATACCTGTTATGCGTGCACTTAGTTTGCCAGAAATGTTTAAAGAAGCCACCTGACGGGTGTCACAGGGACCTGGGTGAGGTTAAATAATTGAGGTGAGTGAAAGATAATTAATGGAGAATCAATGAACAAGTCAGGATGAGGTTAGGAAAGGAAGGTACAGCCGTGGTTCGAGGGAGGGGGATCTAATCCAAGATGAATTAATTATTTAACAGGCTAAAATGACTTGAATGACAATGCGGAGCATTAGACTTAAACACACCTTCATGTTTGTGATCAAATGGATTTTCAATCCAGAATCAACTTTTACGTTTTGCTTCATATGACGCTGTGAAGTTATGCTTAATACACCTCATGTCTGCAAAGTAAGGTTTGAGCAGAAACCCATTTACGTTTATAGTCCTTCACAAATGAATGAATGAATCAGTGAAATAATGATTGAATGAAACAAAGCAATGGGAAGAATGTTCTCAGAACCTGGACTTCTCTGATGAAATCCCTATGATCTCCATGTCTCCTTCCTAACACTACCCCTACATTTAATTAGAGTCTGGGGAATGAGGAAGTGGATGAGTGGACTGTCGATTTTAAATTCATTATTTCTTAAGCTGAGGTGCAAACCTAACTGTTCACATTCTAACAGACATGTCTCCTGTGCTCTTTTGCACTTCTCTTTAGGCGATAATCAAGCTATGTGTGGGAATCCTAATAATTAGTCTGGTATTTTCGCCTGCATCCTGCCACTTGTCATTTAACCAAAATACATGTGGGAATGCAAATATGTGAAGGCTGAGATTTTAAGACTATATAGCATGTCCACTTCTTTAATGAGGAGAAGGGTTGCCTTTTCATTCTTTGCTTGTCATGTTGCCACTTGCTAAGTGGATTGTGCTCTGAATCTAAAGAGCTCAATGTTGTGGGGATGAATATGAGACAGGATAGCCAACAAAACAAAAAGTATCTGTGGTGCATTCTTGTGTTGCATTTACATACAGACTCTCTATTTAACACACACATGCACACACACACATTTCTACTAACCAGTCCATTCTTCTTCAGGTCTGCCCACATGCTAGTGCCATCACCACCCCTCATTAGTACATGGTAGGTGAAAAAATAGATGCCAGGCAGAGGGCAGGTGAACTTTCCGGTGCTGGGCTCATAGTAATTACCAACATTGGTGACCACGTCATCAAATTTCAGTATTTCGCTGCCCTCGTGCTGCTTGCGTAGCCCTGCATAAAAGGCAATTTTAGGGGTGTAGATGGAGGGAGAATAACCCCCCGGACCAGGACCGGGGGGCCCCTGCGGCCCCGGTTTCCCTGGCTCCCCCGGGGGCCCACGTTCTCCTGGAGGACCTGGGTTCCCAGGAGGCCCTCGAAGCCCAGACCTTATCTTCTTTCCAGAGTATTCCTGGGGGGGCGAAGACACAGCTATCAATTCCTGACCAGGTTGAGAAGTAGCGTAAGGATCACACACCATCCTGCAGCTTCCAAGCATTTCATAATGGTTCCCTGTTCCCCCAGCGCTGCCACCTTTGGTTGTGTGAACAAGAAGGGGAATAGCAACCAACAGAATCAGAACCATGGCCACGCCAACAGCAGCTACGATCACACGTTTCCTGCGGCTAAGCCGAGAGGCGGCCAGTGTGAGGAAGTCCTCCTCCCCCTTGGCTGGAATAGTGCCGGCCACGATGAAGCCTCTCCAGGTAACAGTTTGGAAGGAAAAATGGAGAAGAGACGTTGAGGGGGGGAGATGTAGGAGGTATTAGAGCATTGGTTGTTCAAATATTACAAGAAAAAATGTTAGCCAAGAACGGAAAATCATTCACGGAGATTAAGATTCCCTTTTAAGAATTGTCCAGTTATCTCACATCAATATATCTATCTTAATATTTATTTATTTTTTTGTCCTGCTGTCTCACCATTACAACAACAAAACAAAAACAAAAAAATTAGGTATTCTTCTGATGGATCAAAGTCTCAACAGTTTGTCATGAAAGTCCACACCACAAAAGGAGGGGGGGGGGGGGACAAAATGACTTTCTCAGATAAAGTACAAAGATGTCCTTTAAGGTTTCTCCTAGATACCAGAGCACTTCATGTAGATGTCTCATTTAATGCCATAGCTGAGACAGAAAAAGGTCACCAGATATCTCTCCAGGCAGGATGATCCGTGGACAGCTCTGTTTTCTGCCAGAAATAATGAAGTTGGTGCCTTGAATCAACAGATTCTTTTAAAGTTGATTCCTCCTGCGTCTTTGTATGGATCTGAAAAGGATAATAAAAAAGAATGAATAAACTTATTAATTTTACCGTTATTCCCTGTAAATTACTTAAATCAAATATATGCGTAATTTAAAAAGAGAACTACAAATATTTTTTATAAGGTGGGCGTATTATTTAGATGCATCTCTGTAGTGTAAAATAAATAGTTAAATATATCGAAATTGGAGGTAAGATATAAGCTTTTTCTCACCTGTTTCAGCAAAATGATCTCTGGCGCGTCCAATGATAGGCTGATGAACCAAGGCGCGCAGGAGTTTCCGGGTAGTTAACAGTTTCCTAATCACAGCGGAGTTCTCCCCGCTTTTTTATTTTTTAAATAAAGTCCAAACTTCAGCGACTTCTATGATAATTAAGGTGAGAAATGATCCACGGGAAAACTTTCAGATTTTTTTTTTTCCAAATGAGAAGCGCTGTGCATCCAGACGCTCCCCTCCACGCTGTCTGTCCACTGTAGCGCTGATCGAGGCGTTTGGTCCAGCAGCAGTCCTGCTCTACACCTGTTAGATCTCTCCTCCTCACCCCTCCCCTGTCTCTGTCTCTCTCTGTTGTATCACTATCTAGATTTTCCTTTCCTATCAGGAGTTATTTAACATTAAACAACTTTATTTATCATTCAAAACATTGAGTATATAAAATATCCTGTCATATGTATGTTGATATTATTATTTTAAGCCAATATGAATGTCTCTATTAAATAATCCTCCTATGAGCTGATATTGTTTGCTCAATATTTACCTGTCAGAGGAAAATGTCTCTGCAAGCAACAAATGTTTGATACTGTTCTGCCAGACAGAGGAGAATGTTCTCATCTTTTGTGTACCAGGCAAAGAGAGGACATGGGATGGTGGTGACTGAGTCAAAGCTGCCTCTGCGTGATGTGTGAGGAATGGAGAGGAGACGCTAAATGGTCCCTAGACCATTGTCTGTGTGTGACTCGCATCCCACAGCTATACAGCCTCATTAGTGAGACACCCTGCCCCAGACAATGTACCCTCTCAGCTAAAATCTTAAACTGGTGCCTGAACACTGGAGTAAACAAACATCTCTGCTCACATACTATGTGTGGACTGCAGACCAAAGAGTATTTACACCATTAGTCGTCAAAGGTTTTTTTTTATTTTATTTTAATGCGGAATCTTTTCCTGCAGTTTTTAGGGCAACATTTAATAACGAGATGACCAATGTTAAAATAAAGCAAAACCAAAAAGGTTCACTAAGGTGGAGTTGTAAAACATTATGGTGTGACCAACATCTGTATGTGGTTATCAGATATTTTTCTGTTATACCTGGTGATAAATAAATAAAAGGAAAATTACTCTCCAGTGATTTTAGGTCAATTTTTGTTTTATTTATTTTTTGCAGCTGATATTCACCAAAAGCATCTAAACAAAACATCTATAATACTTAGCTGCACTTTCTATTGAGTTAAACATGGCTATACTTAAGTAATCCAGATTTATATCTAGGGTTTCAGAATTAAAATGCATTTAATAATAATCTATAATATATAATGGGAAATAAATCACAGATAGAAAAACATATTTGTCCTCCCATCTATCCATGGTAAGAAGTTGGAGAGTAGTTTGGTAGTTTGACAATATGTACAGATATTAGTTGGGTAGACATCTGGGTTTATAGCTAAGAAATAGTTACATAAGTTACTAAAACGTAGCAAAGCTAAAGGAAAAATTTACTTAGATAGTTCCATGTACTCAAAGAGATATAGAGAATCATCTTCTGGTACAGCAACACTTAATACTCTCCAAAAAATTATTGTTTTTTGGGATTTTTTTTTTTTTCATTTCAAAAAGTTATAAAATGTTTTAAATATAATTATTGATTCTGTTTATTTTTCAGAGTATTAACTTTGATTGTAGTTCTTATAAAGTCTCACACAGACTCATCATCTGGTCATAAATTGTATTTTGCTGAGTCTCAAATGTGCATTTGTTCACCCAGTGGTTTAGCTAATCAAAAGAATTTATTTCAAAATATTTAACTTTTACTAGTAATGTACCAAAAAAAATCACTATACTGAAGCTGAATTACTCCAGAAGCAACTAAAATCAATATTTCCTTGTTATGTATTTAATGCAAGCCCCTACTGTATAAGACAATGCATATCCATAGCTTACTAGACTTGGCTGTACTTACTATGAGGCACACGGGTTAGTGTAGCTGTTAAAGTTAGGAATAAAAGCAAAGTTGTAGGTCAAATCCAGTGCTATCCAATTGAGTTCATCTATCATACACAATTAAAAACAGTAGATATTGACTCATGGTGCAAGAACAAACAGTTTAAGTTGTGCTAAAGGTCAGCGACAAGCCCCCATGTAGGTCAGTAAATATATATTTAACCTAGAGTTGTCAGAAGAGTTGTTTACTACAGTATTAGAGACATTTTAATATTTAGGGTCTTAGATCTAAATAAAATTTAAAACAGCCTAACATCTTACCAGCTTAAAAATGCAAAATTATATCTATGATTATATTTGGAAAACATATTTCTTGCTTATGCGAAGCTAGTTTTCGGAGGATAGGGGTAGGTACATGCAAGGTTACTTATCTTGTAGGTTTCTGTGTTGCCCTGTTATGATGTGATTACCTGTCCAGGTTTTACCCATGAATTTTGTCTGCTGATGGTAGCTAGAGGAATCAGCACCACCCACAAAAAACAAATCTAGAAAATAGATGGGTATTACCCATAAAACTAATCATTGTAGTAAAATCTATTACGACTGAGCATCAGATTATTTTGATATAGATTCATTTATGCATCAAATCCCAGGAAGCTGTGTAAACACTGCTACAGAGACATCTTTGATTTCTCTCAGTTTATTGGTAATCTGTGATCACATATCTTTTCAGAAACATCTATATGGTTCAGTTTTTGTAAATATTATATTTGAGCTATTTGTCACCTGTCTGACAGGCAGAAAATTTAATTGGTGACATGGTGATGGCAATAGGAAGAGGTGTCCATACAGTATTGATGAATCCCTTTTCATCAATCACCTTCTCCTCAACCTCTCTCTCTGCCACCAGTCTAGTAATGTGGGGATCATGCAACCTGATCCTTCCAGCCCGGAGAAGGTCAACAATAAACCCATTTCAAGATGGTTACTAAAGGATGTCTTGGATTTGGTGGGAAATTGAATGTGGCTCAGGGCTGGGAAAATATATATATACATTTTTAGAAGGAGGTAAAAAGTAGCTGAGCAGGGTCTTTTGGAGTAAATTAGTGCAATTAAGTTAGCTTGGGTCACTAACTCAGTTCTCTGAAGACAAGAAGCGAGGTGCAGACAATCATTTTTAATAGTCAGAAGCAATATACTCAGGATTGGATTTTTAGAAGCTGTTAAAATATTACTGAGGTGATTAATATTGAAATATGCGTATGTCTTTCAGCTGTCTGTCTCCCTCTCTTTTCCTCTCTGTCCTGTTCTTGATTTGTTCCCTGTTGAACACTCACCTAAATTTCAATATCCTGCAATATAGTGATAAAATGTATTTATTTCTTATACTGTGCTCTATCATGTCTGTTTTCACTGTGACTGTGCTGTTAGGACAGCGAATGAGTAGAATTGCTTCTCAGTTTTTGAGTTATTAGTTTGTTTAATAAATAATTTTATGAATGATGACACACAAAGACTACATCTCTTAGTTTTGTGCAAACACCTGCAAGATTTAACCTCCACTCTCTTCCCCCCTCCCGCCTTTGTGTAAACAAAAAAGACAAGAGAACCTATTTATGGCCACATTACTCATGGGATACATCTCTGCTGCTTTGACTCTTTTGCATCCATGGTTCCTTAATGTCATACCAGTTCAGTTTACCCACCCAGAGCAGCTTTTAACCAACCTTTTGGCTAAACCAAATCTTAGGAAAGGGCAGAGAATCAGTTTTTGGGTCTCAGTGAAAAGGATAGGCAGTATTTAGTGATAAAGGAATCCAGAAATTGTCCTCTGAGTTTGCACACATAAATGGCCAAGCAAGCTCAAGAAGACCATCTAAAAACAACTTCAGTCTCAAAAACCTGAGAGGTTTATCTAAACGGTATTCCTTTTAGTTAAGAGCTTCCTGAGAACCCAACATTCAAAGCCATCTCTGGTCAAAGACTCTGAAAGAAAAACAAAGTGCGGTAATTTATAAACTCGTGATATGCACTACTACCACTCCTTCCTGTTTAGATATTCCCCCAACTATATCAAAACATTTTAAAAGTTGTAAAGGTTAATCAAATTATATTTATAAAGATTGCACTTTTGCTAACATAGTAGCTAGAAAAGGAAAGCCTTGTTTTGTCACAGTCTCTCTCAGACTTTGGGACACTGACAGGAACAGCAGGCATTCATACTGCAAAGGTTCAATGTTTTTGGAAAACCGAGGTGAGACCAGCAGTTGTAATTGTGCTATATGGTTCTCTGGTCTGTTTTGGGTTCACATTGATGTAATCCGCTCCAAAAAACAGACTCAGATAAGGTAAAAACTGTCTGAAAGTGCTTATAAGCCCTAGTTCCACCCTCAGCACCACACACCTTTGAGCTTGGGTTCAAATGTCATATTACAGAGAAATACAAATAGTAAGTTGTTCTGTTTCAGAATCATAGACATACAATGACAGCAAAAACATTTTATTTAGTATAATATTGACTTAATATTTTCTTTGCTTTAGAGTTTTTTTTTAGAAGGACTTGCAGGGATACATTTTTAAGCAGAAAATTTCTGTCATTTTAGAATGTGTTAAAGTAAGTAAAGAGTCAAAAGTCATGCACCGAGTGATTATTATAAATTGAAATTACACATGTTACTTTTCAAAATGTAAAATCATACCTTATCTTGGCTCTGCAAAGGGAACCATTTTCAGAAAGAATTTCTTCTCTGGTGGTTGGATGCAGCTTTTCTTACAATGCTTTTAAAGCCACAAATTGGGCTTTAAGTTATTATTGGCTCTGCTAAAAAGTATAACAGTATGAATACATGATCATTAAAGGGGAATAAGCTAAAAAAAAAAAAAAACATTGCTTAACTGAAAACCAATTGAAAAATCCACCTCGATAAGACTGCTTAAGATTAATTTTAAAGTTGTTCCAATACTCAGTCCAACAGCTATACCACCAGGAATAAAGTGGATATATTAATACCAAAGAAGATATCTACTGCAAATATCATAGCTGCTTGTAACATTTGAACAGGACAATACTTGAAAAATCTTGAATTATCTCATTAAGCTTTAAAAGGTAAATACTATGATATGGTATACTGTAATTTACAGTTTAAGCAACACACAGGGCAGCAGTTCAAAATGGATGACACTTTGCCACAAAAAAACAACAACACATTGCTTCTGGCAGACTGTCACTCCCTGTGAGAGCCCATTCCTCACAGACAGCATTGACAAGACTCCTGCTGTAAAGGTGTTAA